CGCAAGTGTAGTTGGCAGAAGGAATCAGATTCGCACACTGGACTCCTAACTTCTTTACTCTTTACTAACCCCCTAAGAATGCGCCGGCGATACGTCAGAGGAAAATAGGCGTTTGTTCAGCGCCAAGGCGGGGGCCGGGCTGTGTAACGGGGCTCCAGCCACAGCGCAGGAGGGAGGGGGAGGCCCGAAGGAACTCCCAAGCACAGTTTGTACAGCTCTTATCGAATCAGTGATAAGAAGAGTGTGTATCATAGCCATAAACTGTACCTCCGTAACAGTATAGTTCGCCATTTCCACATAACACAATGCACAAAATGCTTGCACATAAACAAACATCAACACTTATTGATTATATCCGATCAGTTACATTCCATATTTATGATAATCCCCTTCAGGTTACAGCTGCTACGTACTGATAAGCTGCTGTTTGCGGGTACACGGTTGCATATTCACTGCCATTCGTTACAGGGAACACTTTAACTGTGCACATTTCTATCCCTATATTTGCAGTGTGACGTAAAATATTTAAAAGTAAACAATAAAAACAAATTGATTGTTTTTTGTTTGTTTTTTTATTACTACCCGCGTGCCTACGGAAACTAATAAGACCATCCAGTCACAATTTATCAGCCAGTTTTGTCGACTGAAACAAAACGACTAAACCCAGTTCACGCAACATTTACAGCTGTTGTTTCTCGAACACGGTGACTTTGAGTGCTTGGAGAATAAACAAGTATACGCCTCTGGCCATGAAGATTAACCCGCATTCAAGCTCTCTGGTTTCGTTTCTATTTTGAGTAATGTCAGTAAATCATCAGAATACTACAGGTTACCACTAGTGTGACAAGCCTTACCTACATGGACAGAGTTGGATGATAACGTAAGTCCGGCGCTAATCTCTCCGAACGAGCTCATTGATAGTTCTTCGGTAGATACTTTTGTTCAGTCTTACTTTTGTTTTCGTGAAGTCGTCACGTAAAGGCGATTAATTCTATGGCACTGATGGGAATGTGATCAGATTATCCCTGGCCATTTCTTAACGTTCGCAGATGGCCTTCGACCAATGGGCTGGTCTGTGGTGTAGGCCTATATAAGCTAATTAATTACACGCGTTATCCTAAGATTTTCTTTTGTTTTAGCTTCACTACTGAACAGCTTCTGTGAATGATTATGTGTGCAGAGTCTATCGTTAATTCTTTTTTTTATCTTAATGATCTTTGAGTATTTTATGAAATGCACATGTTTTTGTATATTAAATTGCAGGACTAGAGGAATTTTATCAGGGATTGCAAAGTTTCCTGCGAGATTCCTTACCTTCACTTTTTTTTCTCTTTCTTATTTTATCCATCATTGTTTTATGCTGTAATTGATAAGATCTGGAAGATGAAAGGGGAGTGAAGTGCATGACTGTACAACTTCTGCGCATGAGCTCCTGCACTTCTAAACTTCCTCAGTGATAAATATAGGCTGAATAAAAGAGGGTAAGAGAAAAGAAACACATTTGACCATTTTACCTGAAACATCCTTTTCTGCTGCAATGCAAATCATCATCTCAGTTGCTGGTGATAATAGTACTTAGTATAAGGAAGTATGAACCACCTTGTCTAAATATTTTCTTTGGTCTCTGTAATGGAAAAGAAACAGTCTGGGAATTAATTGTCCTGGCAATGATTCATTTAATACTTATCCTATGCAGGATCAATATATAGGTACTTTATATGTTGCGGAGGTTCGTAAAAAAATATGAAATATAGTCAACTTATATACTTATTAATCCCACTGAACACATTCCATACGGCAGTTCGCTAGAATGCTGTGCATAATTGTGTGTTTATGTGTGTGTGTGTGTGTGGAAAATATTCCAAAAGGAATATAACAAGGATGAAACACACAGTCCGGTGCTGTATCTGGAGTATCACTTTTTTCCCCTCCTCTATGGAAACAAATCCGACTGTAATTCATCCAGATTCAGAAAAAGGACATGAATCAGACTGTGCTCAAACTCTTCCTCTTTTTACTTCTCAATATCTGTCTCATCTTACTCCGCCTATCTTTGTCCTTCTTCTGTCCCTTCGCCTCCACTCCGGTTTCGATCTCTTCGTCCTCCTCCTCCTTCTTCTCCTCTATCTCCATGTTTTCCCAAACTTCCTCTGTATCATTTCCTTCCTTCCCTCCTAGTTCTTCTCGTCATCATTTCTCCCTTTCCATTTTCGTCTCGAAATTATCACCAGTTTAACCTTCATCATCGCCACCATTCTCTCTCCACCAGGAAGGTATCCATTAGCTTTTGCCGCAATGGAGATCACTCTGCTCTTCCTGTGTGATATTCATTCCAGTTACTTAGCGAAATTATTTGTTTCTGTCTTATTATCACTGTTTTTCTCCTTTGTTTTCGATTTGTTTTCAAACTGTGACTCCCATTCAACTGCAGAAGTATATTTCTTACCTCCTTGTCTGGTATGGAACACTACGAAATGTGCATGATTTTAGGCTGAAAACATGACTGAGTAGGTGACAACATACTTTAATAACGATAATAAAGATAATAATAGTAATGATAATGAAGTGCGGGCGTGCTGTCAACAGCCCTACCGATTATACAGCGCAAGTTTTATATTAATTAGGTAAGTATTTTTGTGCAATAGCATCCTGTAGTTTGTACATTTGACAAAAATAAGATAATCATACACGAATAATACATTCGTATAAATGTATTGTTGGAGTAAATGTGCCACAGAAAACGAGGAAATATTTACAGTGTGACGCCAAAATTTAAAGGTTGAGAACCCCTGTCGTAGAGTAACGAAACTGTACTTAATAAAGAAACTTTGAAATGAAAGACTACGTGATCAGTGGCCAAGGGAGCGGTTTTCGCGATAAAGCATGAGCTAATTGTGTCGTCCGTTCAAGCGCTCTGAGCCACGGCGATGGCCTTGCCGCCTTTGGCAGACAAAATGCTCTCCCTCTGCCCATGCGTTCTCTTTAAAGCATGGATTAGCATGGTAAAAATGTCCGGAAGGGTGAATAACGAATAGACAATAACAACAAAAGAAGCATACCAAAGTTTACCTTAATGTAACGACAATGAGATGATGTCTTAACCGCATGGCAGCCGCTCCCTTCCTTTCCGCGCATGTGAGGTCGGCCCCGCATCTATGCAGGTGACTGGATGCCGCATAGAGAGGCATGCAGTTCATTGGAATTTGCATGTGTAAGTGTGCAATGTCAGCGGCGTCTCTCGCCATTGTCGACCGACACTCGCTGCGCTTTCTCACGACATTGGTGGGAATTGCCGTGAAGGTTTCGAGGAAGTGAGCTGGCTAAACGAGGTTTATCAAGTATGAAGTCGAAGCGTAGGAGACTATGCATGCCTTTATACTGACGTGTGTTCCCGGACCCAGTGTGCGCCCTAGGAATGCGTGCCTGGCCGCCCACTGCCTCGTCCCATGGGAGGTCAGCGCAAGTAAGGCAAGAGGTGAACACTAGTCCGAACAGTGGTGCTGTGCAGTATTTTTTCGTGATGAGACTCTAACCGTTATCTGACAAATTCGTCTAAGTTCATGATACATTGCGTTACCAATATACCACTTATTCATAATAGTATAGCGATAACAACAGGATTGATATGACACTCATCATTCCGATAATTCTTTGCACTGTTTATTACAGAGCTTTCCGATTTTACTATCATCACTATTAGGGCTACCACTGCCATTACCACAGTTACTTATCCCTATCATTTTTGTCACTCATCATCATCGTCATCATCAGCACTATCACATGTCCTCGTGGCAGCAAACCAAATTGTAAACAATAAGGAAACTAAACGAAGACGAGTGACAGCAGGGAAACCCACCCTCCTCCCCTTCTTCCATCTCTGTCTTGCCTGCCGTTAGGGGCTCGACCGGAGGCCAGTGACCGCGGGGATAAAACGAGAAATTCATGCAGGGAAGAGGAAAAGAAGAGGAGGACAGGACAAGAAGAGTGGAAGGCAGGAATGAAGGAAGACACAAAAATGAAAAAAAATAAATGTGTGTTATTATGTATATACCTGCATATGTAAAACAAAAATGAATAAATGAAACGGGAGAGAGGTAGCACTAAAGACACCATATATATAAGATTTATATAAAGGAATAGGAAGAAGGGACACAAACGACAGGAAAGAAGAAAGCTAGATAGGGAAACTGATCGCAAAAAGGTCGCAAGAAAGGAAGCACAAAAACAACAGTCATGTTTTCGAAAATGTATTCGGTTCCTGTGGCTTGAACGCCGACCCCGCGCCGTGACTCTCCTGCCGCGTCGTCCGGCGGGGAAACTGAGGCACGAGCGCTGGCTCCAGGCGGCCATGCATTCGGGGCCCTGCAGAACTGAGGATAAGATATCTGCATATTTGGAAATGCCGAAAAAAAGGAAACAAGAAAAAATGTTTTTTATGTTGTTTTGCCATTGGCATTGTTATTATTATTATCATTATTGTTGTTGTTATTATTATGATTATCAGCAGCAGCAATAGCAGCATTTTCGTGATATTATCATCACCAAAATTATCACCATTATTAGTACTATCATAATGCTTAATTGACCAGAAGAAGAATGCCCGTAAGAGCGTCAACAAGACCGGCGCCCTGTATGACGGCAACACCGCCGGAAAAGTTGGCGCTGGGACGTAGAGTTGGATCGCAGTCGCTTCTCGCACGGCGCTCGGAAGGCAACGTTGTCTTACTTCAAGGCAGAGAGTTGATGTCGGTGCAGTGTGGCTTCACGACGATCAGTGATGACGTCAGCAAAAAGAAACTGCATGGCCGGAATCGAAAGGCTAGCGGCACTGGAGAAAAAAATGCCTGCCAGAAAGCTCGTCGGTCTTTCGGTAATGACGGCGGCCTTCCTTTTCATTGCTAACGTGGGCATCAGGAAAACTGCCACGGCTACTGGCCCCCGTCCTGTCGGTGCCCGGGGCGGAGGCCTCGCGGAACATTTGAAGCTCCAGAATATATCCATGACTGAAGTGATCCCGAAAAGTACTGTAGTGCTGGAGTCTAATGAAAAGAGGAACTTTAAATCACGTAAAGATTGGCCAGCCGTTTTACAACCCTCGAATGCAGAGGACCTGAAGAACACTGATTTTTCCAAATATAATTCGGAGGTAAGAACATTGCAGTTGGTTAATTATAGTGCCGTGTTTAATTATGATGTGTATTTACATTAAGTCACTTAACCATCGGCTCTTTCGCACGAAGGCCTGAAAGTTAAAAAAAAAAAAAAAAAACTTTACCTAAGCGTCGATACGATGCAGTACAGATGATCATGTCTCCAATTTAGAGAGACATGACCCAAGGAAAGCCGAACGTTCAGGGATCTCGTTAAGGATCCTACAGGAAAAGCTTTCATGGAATATGGAGTGTATAACTGTATACACAAAAAGACATACATACATACATACACGTGTGTACACATACGCTAACACACACATACGTACACAGATAGATATATAAAGAGATAAATAGATATGGATAGATAGGAATACGTGTGTGCGTGTGTTTGTGTGTGTGCGTGTGTATTATATATATATATATGTATATATATATATATATATATATATATATATATATATATATATATATATGTGTGTGTGTGTGTGTGTGTGTGTATGTGTGTGTGTGTGTGTGTGTGTGTGTACATGTGTGTATGTATGTATAGGTGTATATATATATACATACATACACACACACACGTGTGTGTATATATACATGTTTATATGTATGTATATATATGTATATGTGTTTGCATACATACATATGCACAAACACACACACAAACATATATATATGTACGTTTATGTGTGTGTGTGTGTGTGTGTGTGTGTGTGTGTGTGTGCATGTATACATATATACATATATATTGTGTCTATGTATATACATGCATATTCGTATGTATGTATACATACATATACATAAATCCATACACACATTTATATATAAATGTATATATAATCACTCCAGTAATATATATACACATATTTATATATGTATATATATTTATATATATATATATATATATATATATATATATATATATATATATATATATATATATATATTATCACTCCATACATAGTGTCTTTGATATATGTGATAATAATTAAGCTTTAACAATTCATGATCTCTTAGATTTGCCATACTGATATCTTGTATAATCCTTAGTTTAATTTTAAGTTTAGTTTAATCTTAACCTTTATAAAGAAATGTCTCTAATGTATGACATTGTAACTATTTCTTTATATATGTATACCTTAAACTGGGGGATAATGTTCTTAGATCTTCTTTACAGTTATTGTTTCACTCTGAAGATTTGTATTGTATACTCGTTTGTTTTTGAAAAATAAAGAAAAAAGAAGTGACGATTTTTTCATTAACACTGGTTCTGAGGTTTATTTGTGTGTGTGTATGTGTGTGTGTATACACTTGTAAAAGGAAAACCGCCACAGTAAGAAATGAAATTGGCAGTTTTCCTTTCATCTTTGTGTATACATCTCTGTGTTTGTGTCAGTATACACTTGTGTTTGTGTGTATATATATATGAGTGTATGTATATGAATATGTGTTATTCTCTATATTTATCCATCTCTTCGCATGTACGCCTTCCTCCCCGCGCACCCTCCCCCAGGACCGCACCCTCCTGGAGGCCCGGCTGCCCGTGCTCGTGGACCGCGCCAGACAGGTGGGAGAAGTCTGCCGCCGCAGCCGACTGCCTCTGCGGACCCAACAACCGCCGCGGTTCCTGTGGGATAAAACGCATTCGCCGAGCATTGTTTGGTGCCCCATATATAAGGTAGTTGTGTTCGGCATGATATGCATAAAACGACAAAAATATATTCTGGATGCTGCCTACAATTTATGTGTATGTATAGGTAGGCCTATATATAAGTGTATACTTATCACAGATCTCAAAAAAAGTATGGGTCGAGTTTCTATTGTTCAAAAAATGAAGCCAAAACAAATCTCGCGGCGGCCATATTGGAGGGCCTTATGTGATGGATGCAGTGTGTCTATTTATAAGCGGAAACCATTTGCAAATCATGTTTGATGTTTATCCTTTTTGTTTTGTGTTTTGCTGCATATATAGATGAAAGTGGATACAAAATCTGTAGTAACTTGCTGCTTCAGACCTAAATATAAAGGGATCCAAGATGTTGGAAAGTTTATTCAGTTCAATTCCTACAAGTGTAGATATCTTTAAGTCACGATGATAATACAATTGTAGTGAAATCACGCAAGACAATATGCTGACCTATCTCACCTGTGGAAGGTTCTTGGTAATGTTCTTTTTTCACGGACTTTTCATCTACCCTCGCTATCACTTCGTACGTAGTTTTCTTCTTTAACGTTTCGTTTTCTCTTATTACAACTACAAGAAACACATTCTATACCTTGCTTTCCCATCGTTTACACTTGATACCACTTCTCCGCACAGTTATTACAATACCGCAGTGGGGCCCTCCAATATGGCGCCGGTTGAAAATCGCGGGCTTCAAAATCGGCGAATCAGAGACAATAGGTTGCTCGATCCAGTTTTTTTTTTTTTTTTTTTTGAGATCAGTGATACTTATGTATGTATATATATGTGTGTGTGTTTATATATGAATGTATGGATGTGCAGTATATACTTATATAGACCTATTTATTCATTTAATCATTTACAAACTGGCAATGCTGTCCACACATAGTTCTGTCGAACAGGTGGCTTCGACCACGTGGCTGATCAACTTCCTGCGTCTTGCGCACTTCAACGAGAACAACACCGCCATCCCCTCGAACGCCACGAAAGAGGAGCAAGACAAGCTGAGGCTGACGGTAAGTGACCTGATGCGAGATATTCCCCTTAAACTGAACTGACATTGTCGACTGAGCTCCTAAGGCAAGCTCCCGATCGCCAGCACAGGTACGGCGCCAGCCACCACGCCGCCTTCACCGCCTTCCCGAGCCCCGGGTCGCCGCGCGCGAAGGCCAGGGCGCTGCGGGAGGGCGTCCGGGTCATCATAGTCAGGCATCCTTTCACCAGGTAAGGAACTCACTCTCGGTTCTGTCTTCCGATGTGTCTTCCGAGTTTATTCAAATTGTAGGACGAGCATCCATGGCTTGGAGTCGGTTTTCTTTTGGTGAAACTCATGAACGGATCATTTTAGCCGATGACCAGCCGCGGCCGCGTGCTTACTGGTCCGTAATGATAATGATAGTAATGATGATGGTAATAATGATAATGATAATAATAATATTAACAATAATGATAATGATAATATTAACAATAATGATAATGATAATATTAACAATAATGATAATAATAATAATGATAGTGTTAATAATAATCATAATGAATGAATGGATATATAAATAGACAAGAAGAAATGTTCCTAATGATTAATCTACTCATATGTCGAATCTTCCTCCCCCTTTCCCTCGCCAGGATCCTCTCGGCTTACAGGGACAAGATGACCAAGTTGAAGCCGCTGCCCCTGAAGTATAAATTTCGCGACCTGCAGAAGGCCATCATCGCCAAGTATAGAAGCCCCCAATCCTCGGACAATTCGACTTTCCCGACGTTTCCGGAATTCGTTCAATACGTGATTGACTCCACGGAGGACTTGGTTACTGCCAAGGAATGGCTAAAGGTTGTTGGTGTTGGATTATGTTTTGCTTGGTGCGATTTTCACGATTATCGCGTCACGACGAATGTTCAGGGTTTTCGCTGCACGAGAACAGACGCTGTACTTTTTGCTTCAAGCGCCTCTTTTCGAAGAGACAGTTGATTTCTTACCAATCAGGAAGGTAGTGGCGCGAGAAAATGGCTTTGAGCAAGCTAAGTAGAAGGACAAGGTTGTTCATTATTTTCCAGTAGAAGAGACAGAAGTTCTTTTCCAATTGTAGGGGGGTGCTAATAAACATTCAATGTTTAAATTGAGGAATGCAGAAGGAATCCTTCAGAAACTGATCGCAGAAACTGATCCTCCACAAGGATCTCGTCCTGTCCATCGGAAAACTTGGGAGCCATGATAAGGCAAAAATCCTTAGCATTCAAAGGATCGTGTGCGATTGCGATTATATTCACCCCAGCCATGTGACTATTCGGAGCCAATGATGATTGTCAGCGACTCTAGCGGCAGTCGCTCGAAGCAAAAAGCCCCTTTCAAAACAGAGAATTAGTGCTCTAGACAGGCGTTTGACGATCTTCGTTGAGCGATAATCGCACCGAGCAAAACGTAGGCTTACCTCTAGGAATGAGATCCGTCACTGAAGTTTTCGTTGCAGGAATGTGGTCTTCGTTGTTGTTGAATGTTATGCAGCAACTTTCAAACCCAGAATAGTTGCATCGTCATTGCATAGTTATATATTTGCTTGCATACATAATCACATGTATGAGATATAATAATACAAAAGTGTTGAAATGTGTATCACTTTATGATAAAGTAGTGTGTGTGTGTGTGTGTGTGTGTGTGTGTGTGTGTGTGTGTGTGTGTGCGCGCGCGCGCGCGCGTGTGTGCGCGCGCTTTATGTGACAATCATAAGCCCATACTTCCATAAATCCCATCAAAGGTGAAATGCTGGAGGCCGTACTGGGTGCACTGCGGCGTCTGCTCTACTGACTATAACATCATAATGAAGCTGGAGACCATGAGGGAGGACGAGCAGTTTCTCATCACGCTGTCCAGCCTCGATGAACTTAAGGCGAGTCAAAGTCAGATTTGCTGTTCATTTGTGTGTGTATGTATATATATGTATGTGTGTATAATTTATACATATATGCATATATGTATATATATGTGTGTGTGTGTGTGTGTATGTATAAAAGATAATGCAATACCGCATTGATATAGATATATAACAACCCTCCCTGACCAGGACTCGAACCCAGATCACTCCAGGTATGAACCGGAGGACCAGTACTAAACCAACCACGCCACACGACCCACTAGAAAGAGTGTGCAACTAGGAACTAACTAGTTCCATCATTCATATATCATTCGCTATCATTACTCCTGTATGAATAGATAGGTTATGTCTATGGAGCTAGTTAGATCCCAGATCCTCATTCCTTTTAGTGGATCGGGATTTTGGTGACCTAAGTTCGAGTCCTGTCAGGGAGGATTTATATATATATATATATATATATATATATATATATATATATATATATATATATATATATATATACATACATATGTGTGTGTGTGTGTGTGTGTGTGTGTGTGTGTTTGCGCGTGTGTGTCTATACTTTGTTCAACAACCATTTAATCCACTGCAGGATCTAGGCCTCTCTCAGTTCACTAGTAAGAGGTTATTTGGCAGTGCCACCCTTGCCTGATTGAATGCCCTTCCTAATCAACCGCGGTTCGGCTAACACTTGTGCCACGGCCGCGACTTCCCCTACGACACCGACCCTCGTGGTCCCGAGTTCAATTCCCTGCCGCGGCATTCGTAAAAATGCCTGCGCTCTGACTGTTGGCTCGAGTCCGATCTCACGGTGAGAAAGCGACATATCGCCTTGAGAAGTCAAACGCAGGTGTCGTAGGGAAAATCGCCGCCGTGGCACAAGTGTTAACGTGTAGAACCGTGGTTGATTAGGAAGGGCATCCAAACAGGCAAGGATGACATTGCCAAATAACCTCTCAATTGTACAGAGGTCTATGTCCTGCAGTGGAATAAATGGCTGTTGAAAAAAATATGTCTATAGGTATATGTGTGTGTGTGTGTGTGTGTGTGTGTGTGTGTGTGTGTGTGTGTGTGTGTGTGTGTGTGTGTGTCGTACATGCACCCACACACGCACAGACGTCCCGCAACCCAGCTCTGACCCACTCTACCCCCCAACCCCCAGGGCCAGGCGACCTGGAAGCACCTCCGGGGCAACTCCTCCGTGCAGCTGGCTGACGGCTTCTTCGCCCAGCTGACCCGGCGACAGATGGCGCAGCTGCACCGTCGCTACCAGCAGGACTTCGAGCTTTTCCAGTATGACATCAAGGACTATTTAGCAAAGGCTAAGGCAGATGATAGTCAAGTCAGCTAATGTATCAGTAATATTTCTTTATATAGACTCATTCGTGTATTTGTACGTGTATGCGTGTATATATATATATATATACATATATAAATGTGTATATGTGTGTGTGTGTGTAATTTTATATAATGTAAGATTATATATATATATATATATATATATATATATATATATATATATATATATATGCATATATATATATATATATATATATATATATATATATATATATATATATGAACACAAACACTAACGTGTACATAAGGATGAAGAGGAAAGCACTTTCGTTTGAAGAGGAGATCGTGAATAGTTCGAAAAGTCATGATTTATTTCTTATTGCGATTGTTTTCCTTTAATTCATATATAAATATGTATAAATATAATATATAATACATATAATATATATATAGAATTACACACACACACACAAACACACACACACACATACATATATATATATATATATATATATATATATATATATATATATATATATATATATATATATATATATATATATATATATATATATATATATATTATATGTATATATACGTATATGTATGTATATGTGTATATGTATATATGTATATATACATGTATGTATATATATATATATATATATATATATATATATATATATATAAGTATGTATGTATGTATGTATATGTATATATATGCATATATACATTTATATATTTATATATTCTCTTATAAGTTTGTGTGTGTGTGTGTGTGTGCGTGTGTGTGTGTGTGTGTGTGTGGTTCTACGTATAAAATTAGTTATTTACTCATCTATGGATGACATTAACCAAAGACGGATTTTTTGTTTAAGTTTGAAACTTGAGTATCACTCAATAGATTGATTAAATATACTGCTAAACTGTCATTATATAGTTGTGTTTCATTTTCCCCTACGGTGCTGAAAACATCAGCATGAAAATACATAATGATATATACTAACAAGCTATACAGTACATAAGTTTCTGCCTTTTAAAACATAATTTGAACAAAATAATGATAATAATATATAAAACCGTTATTACCGTTACAGTTGTTTAATGCAGACATTGGCAATCTGTACTACCGCACTCCTTGATTGAAAGCTGGTGTTAGTATAAAGTCGTTTAGTTGGGGGGGGGGGGGCTCACGTAGAGGGTCTTTGCTTCTGTTGGCTACTTCTTGTGCACGTTTCCAAAAGTTCCAGTATGTGTGTACACTACATCCCGCCCCAGCACTAACTTGAATAAAATTTCACTCACTAAGCATACTTGTCATTAGCTTTCGTTCGCATTACTTGAACTTGACAACTGCAGGCATGCGCGTCCATACGTGTTCGCAGACCAGTTGCTTTTACTGAATGTTTGTTAGCTTGATCGATGCTGATGTTACATATAAAAGTTTAAACTAACAGTACATTTGAGAACCTTGTGTTCTGGCAGTTAGTCTGAGAACACCGTTGGACGCGTGTACGCTCAGTTGTGAAATAAACTTGCAATATAAACATAGCTCACATCAGTGGAGTCAAGGAAATTAATAATCTCGTCGTGTGCCCAGGGTGTGCCTTTTAGCATGTTGAAGATTTCTAGACTGTTGATAACACAGGCCACCTGCACCGAACACTCCAGTATCAAGTACTCGGTAAATCTACTTTCCGAGCCAATAGCTTGATGTTGAATCAGTTTAGTATTTGGGTTGGACAGGTTGTTCAGCCTGTGTAATCAGGCATGGCAGTTTTATCAATATTCCTTTCTGCTCTTAAACTGCCTTAATTACCAAACACCCCATCTGCCGATTTCCAAGGTTTGTGTGTTAGTCTCTCCACAAGATGCATCCTCGTGTATATATGTATGTGCTTGCTTTTGTCAAGGGACTTAAATGTGCTTAGGCTGTGCACGATATCAATATTACATTAAATGGCTGTTGTACAGTGCGTACATTCTGTAAAAAGACTTGTGGCAAGTACCCTTCTGGAATTTACGATGCTTGTTAATAGCACTTTACTTTGATGTGGATCTCTCTTTCAAAATGTTTTCGACTAAGAACTTTATACACGCACACACAAAGGTGTGTATACGTGTGTGTGTATATATATAGATAGATAGATAGATGTATATATATATTTTGTATTCAAATGTGTGTGTATATATATATACATATATATATATATATATATATATATATATATATATAAATACACATATATAAATATATATGTGTGTATATGAGGGTGCACGCGCGCGCGCGTGTGTGTTTGCGTGTGTATGTGTGCGTGCGTGCGTGCATGTGTGTGTGTGCGTGCGTGCGTGTTTAGGTGTGTGTGCGTGTATGAGCGTGCGTGCGTGTGTGTATCTGCGCGCGTGCTTGTGAGTTTGCGCGCGCGCACGAATGGTAACTGTGCGAGGCCGAGACATAAATCCTGAACTATTCTTTGACTCAGATGCCTTCCCAAGGAATCTCAAGTGTTGCTAAACAGAAACAAGTACAACCGCGATCAGAGGGTTTGACGAGGCACCGCCGTCAGCAAGACCGGCGGTCAGATCACATGCTAAAATAGAACACATTAATGCACAATCTCTCCTTGGACATTTAGATAATATAGAAATGCTCATAATGGAGAGAAATCTTGATATATTATGTGTAAGTGAAGCATGGCTTCACCAGGATATGTCAAGCGCTTTCATCAAAATACCAAATTTCAATGTTTATAGATACGATGCAGGACGTGGGGGAGGAGTCTGCGTATATGTACGAGATACGTTCAAAACAAATGAGATATCCGCTGCAACTGCAAGGAGAGCAGATGTAGAGGATATGTTGGTTAACGTACAATGCAAAATGCTTCCGCCATTCACTGTAGGCGCAGCATATAGGCGTCCCCATTGTTCCTCTGAATCTTTTTATTATACAGAAAAAGTTTTTAGAGAAATCTTACTTAAAAAGAAACCCCTTTTTATCCTGGTAATTTAAATAGTGATTTGAATAAGCCCAATGCAAAATTATTCAAGATAATCAGGAAAAAAACATATTAGAACAAAGGGTCAACAAACCTACAAGGGTCACAGAAAACACTTCGTCATTTACTGATATAATAATAACAGCTGACCTCCTCCATTCAAACGTCTTCCCCTGCCATGTTGCCGATCACGAGCTCATAACGGTGACGCTTAATTTAAAGAAATCAAAACGACCACCAGTCAAAATAAAAGTTTCCAAGAATTAACCAACAACGACTCGGTCATTATGTCAACAAATAATTGCCAAGGAATCAACTCTTTTAGAAATTCTGCAAACAGATAATGTAGACCAACAGGACTTTACGGAAGTGATTAATAACAGCATAGACGCTATTGTTCCTTTTGTTACAGAAACTGTTAGACGTCCTCCTGCTCCTTGGATGAGTAACGACATCACGAGAGCAATAACAGATAGAAATAGCGCTCACAAAGCTCTCAATATGGAGCTCCTGGATATTTATAAACAAAAAAAGAGAAATGTCAAATCACTTATACAAGGAGCTAAAACTGCTTATTTTAGAAATGATTTAACAAATTGTAAAACAGACAGCTAAAACATGGAAAATAGTTAAAACACTTGTACCAAACCCAAAAACATATAAAAGGTAACCTAAATACCAGAATTAGTGCGAATGAATTTAACGATTTCCTCACTAAAATTGGACATCTCACATACAAACAAACAAACGCTTCCATATCTCAGCAAAATACAAGTAGGACAAGGCCACTAGCCAATACTCTCAGACCACAGCCTGTTAAATTAGAAACAGTAATCGTAACAATAACACACGTGCTGTGGGAGCAGATGGCATTGCTTTTCGCTATATCCCAAACCTATTTACAATATTCGTGAATGACTTATCACCCATAGTCCAAAATTTCTTTCTTGTTCAATACGCCGATGATTCAATTTCTCCACAGTGATTCTTAGGTG